AGCACTCCTTCGTCTTGTTGCCTTGTGCCATAGAAACTGGGACAGACTCTGTTCACCATGCTTAAAATACTTAACCTAAGTATATAAAGTTTGCTTAAAGTGTAGAATGGTTTCTTTTTCCTCTTCATTACAGCAAGAATTTATGCCAAAGAAGTTGTTTGTGGGACGTCTTCCTGATTCAACAAATGAAGGAGATCTTTTGGATTATTTTAGTAAGTTTGGTGAGGTGATTGATGTCTACATTCCAAAACCAATGTGTGGAATTTCATTTGTTACATTTGCTTCAGGAGAAGTTGCCAAAAAAGTTCAGTCTCAGAATCACCGCTTGGGATCAAATCTGCTTAATGTGAACTTTGCAGAGCCTAAAGCAGCCAAAAATGCCCACATGCCCTCCCCAGCAGACATACAGTCTATGTCTCAAAACTCTGTGCCTGGGTGGGGTGGTATGGGATTTCCAGAAATGTATGGAATGGGCTCTTGGAGCAATGCTGGACGTCAGAATTTGTCATACAATGCATCAGCAGCTTACAACAGTATGATGCAGAGCATGATGAACATGGGCAACCCGTCAGGTGCTAGTAACATGATGGCCAACAGACATGGACGACGATAAATATCCAGGGTAGGATTTTGTCTCTGTTTTCTGGATTGTGGTACTGCATAGGCTTTTTAAAACAATCCTATGGTTGTAAAAATTATTGTTATAGAACTAGCAGCAGATGGCTTGTTATTCCACTATGATGTACCAATAGATATTTTGTCCGCAGAGAGTAAAGAAATGATATTGCATAGATAGACTCTGTTAGATTATTGTTGAACTAGTTTTTCCTAAGGGAACTAATGACTGTAGTAGCATGAGGAATACTGCTCTTTCTGTTCATTTTCCTCAGCTACAAAAGAATTCAAGGTCTTCTTAAGTAAAAATGTATTGATTGAGGCAGAATGTTGAGAATTCAAAGTGAATTTTTTACTTCAAGTGATGGAGTTTTATCAGGTGGAAGTAAAGTTAGAGTTGCACTTATGCAATTTCTCTTTCATGTTGTGCATAGACATGTGGTTTTTGTCATAATCTGAAATCAATTAAAGTTAAAGTGCCCTTGTTCTCAGCACTGCAGCAGCTTTAGATTTAACTCAAAAAGAACAGTGAGACTGGAAAGAAGTTTGCTTTTGTTGGTCAAGGAGAAGAAATGTCAAATGAATGAGGAGTGAATTCTACTGTTTACATTAAAGAAGAAAAGTCTTTTTTAAATACTTTGGAATGGTGAGAGTGCTGGATGCGTAGTAATCTGACTTGTATGAGTGTAATAAATTGCACTGTTTAAATATGTTTTTGCATAGTCTTTGTATTACCATTAAGTTAATGAGTTGTAACACAACCTGATCATGGTAGGGGTCCAAACAAGGAACTTTATTGTGTGAGCATATTGCATATTGTACTTGAATCATTCGGCATGATAAGATTGTCTTGAATGAATGACAAGATAGAAAGAGAAATAAATAACATGGATGTGTGTGGTGAAAACATTGGGTTTAATGCATGGTCTGTGCTAAATGTAATATTCCTGGGAATTTAAGTGGCATGGATACTAGCATGGGAAATATTTGTTTATGGAATTTGAGACAGGGCACAAGAATGGCAGTTACTCTTATTGATATGATGGTGGTATGACTTTGAGAAGTGGTGAAGGAATGGGTGACAGTACAATCAAAGGCATGAGAGTTTTTATTGTGGAGTGCGATTTTCTGAGTGTATGGAAAATATTGTTTTTGTCGATGGTGACATCTGTCTCAACAGTAAGAGGTTGCTGTCATGAAGTGACTTTCTTTTGTGCTATTAAAACAATGGCAGTCCTTTTCAAGACTTCCCTTGCCCAGATGTTCACATCTCATGATCAAGTTTAATTGTGGGTTAACTGACCACTCATGATGGACTTCCACCACTTGAGTCTTATAGCCAGTGACATCACAGCAAAACTAGAACAGCAACAAAAAGAACTTGATTTGGAAGACTGAGCAATCAGTTTACATAAACCCAATTTAATACACTGGACTGACAACAGCTCTTCACTCAACACTGATGATAACTTCCGCTCAGGTTGTCAAAACCTCAGTCACTGCAACTGACGACAGTTCTTCTCAGGAATACCCCCACTGGACATTCAGACTTCACTATCATAATTTCATTATTGTAAGAAATGTGCAAAGCATTGCTCTTTGGTTTACTTGAGAAAGAACAATTACATTAAGTCAAAAGTAGAGGGAGATTGAGAGGTCATGTGTGATTCTGTGTTTGATAATGCTCTGTTACATGTTCATCATGATATGAGAGCTTAGAGTGCAATGTAACTCAAGAAGAAGGGAATGCTATAACTTTCTGCAATAAATATGCAGACTCATATGGAGGAGAGGCATATGAAGAGGGATCTTGTGAGTTTCAAAGGGTTGCAGAGAGTATGCTGAATGGTATGACATGTCCTGAATGGCTGCAGTGAGGCATAAGATTGTTAAGGTGGTGAGGGAATATGAGTGAGAACACTGTAAGTACATCTGTGTGTGTTGGTCAAAAATGTGTGAGTAAAAAATGTGTGTTTTTATAAGTGTCAAACTTAACTGTGGAAGTTATCTTTGCACTCACTACACAAAGTAGGCAATGACTTATGTAATAACCCAAATTGATATAACAAAGAGGACACATATTCATATTTAAACACTGAAAAATTGTCCTGAATTACCATGCCTCAACACTTTTTTGGCAAGTTTTCTGGCATTTGTGTGGCTGTTTTATTGTGCTTAACAATTCACTATGCTCAGTGTGACAGTTTGCTTAGACCTGAGCTGGTTAAAATCGCTCTTGTTTGTCTCATCAACAGGCATGCCAGTGGACTCCAGCAAGTGCTGAAGAAGTTTTCAGAGTCAAGCTGTTCTCTGACACAAGATCTGGTGAGGCCTGTTATAATGTTTGCCAACCATGACACACTCGGTTTATATGAAAATTCCTTTGGAAGGAATACATTGGGAATTTCTTGTTTACACATGAAGCATGAAATTATAGGAATCTTTGAGTGAATATACTAAGTTACTATGCTAGCACAGTACTAGAAGCTAAAAATGTTTTGGTCACCAAGATGAATGGGAAAAAAATGTATTGCCGCTGAATTTGCAGTAAAAGTCCACCTTTTAGTGACACTTGTATGGCAGTCATGTGACCAAAGCTTTTTTAGTTTTACCACAAATTTTTTATGGTATTACGTGAAACTGGGATAAACATTTGTATGCAATACCATGAATGATCCAGCAGTTTCTTAACCATTAAGAGCTTTTTCTAGTTGCTTTCTGAATTATTAAACCCTGAGATGTCTTTGGAACCTCAGGAAAGGATTATCAATCAGATTAATTTTGTTATTTCAAAGACAGGCAGTATGATCAGCATTGTAGTAGGTCATGCAACTTTGGACAAAGCATTCTTATCTTATCTGTTTGGTAGAATTGTATTACTGACAATGATTTTAGGCAAAATTTGGAAAAACAGCAGCTGTTATCATTGAGCAACCTCAATTCAAGCTCAAGTGGTGAAAGTATTTTCCAACATGAACATCTACAATTTCTTTTCCTTTTCATAAGGAAACTTTTACATGTTGTACGTTCACAGAGTGAACTGTGTTATTCATTCCTCTTTTCTCAATTCCTTCTTTTTTTTTTCATTCCAGGCTTCTGCAAAAGAAAAAAAAACACAAGGAGATGCCAGTCACCAAACAAGAAGCTCATCTGCAGCCATCTCTTGGATGGGTCTTGGTGAAAGAGATCAAGTTTTTCCTTGGTTTACATTGTTCCCATTGTTAACATTGAAACCAGAGGGTTTAAACATCTGCCAGGTTTCACTTGTATACTGTCGCAGCCAAGTGTCTTCTTGCAGAACTTAATAAATCCATACTGTTTAATTAGCCCTATTGAACCCTTGAGTGACCAGTAAGGAATTTCTCCTTACAATGTTAATACATTGTCAAAGAGAGGGGTGATGAGAATAAAGAAAATGATCATCTTAAAAAGATTATTTTTTTGTTCAACTATTCCTTACGCAAAAACTAACAGAAATACACATATATTGATATTGTGACCTAGTTTGGTAGTGTAAAGGTTAAGTTGACTTGGTGCCCAAGGGCTCTTTTGCAAAATTCTGATTTGTCCTCTAAGAAGGGCTTTCTCAAAAGCAAAGGTGGGAAGATCATCCATGGGCAAAATTTTAGTTGCCTCATCACCCAATCTCTGCTATTCTGCAGCCCTAATTTCGCATGTTCTTAGCCATATAAAAGCACAAGTTTTATTCACCTCCAAAAAGACAGAATCCCTTGTGAGGACATTGTTCTGATTCAGAAGGGTCTATCAGTTTGGGAAGGTACAACAAAGTATAACTTATGTTGTCCATTAATGTGAGGTTCAGAACTGCTGTGATCACAATTTTGGATTAGTTATTAGAGGCAGTTTAGCCTTCTCGTTTTGCACTATGAATGGGAAAAAAGGAGTTTTTGACTAATAGGTAATTTAGTGTTAACAACTGAGTTGAAAACATAAATTAGCCACCGTATAGAGTTTAAAGGCTGTTTTGAGCGACAGCCCTTCATCAATTGCTCTGATGAAGGGCTAACACTTGAAACATCAGCCTTTAAACTCGTTACAGTGGCTACTTTACATTTTCAACTCAGTTGTTGAGACTAAATTACCTGTTATACTTCCACCAATGCAGCACCACAGTTTCTTTAGAAACTTACTCTCTTTATTTTTGACTAACAGTTTGTTGATATTTGGTTGTCAAGAGTTGAAACATATTCGATGCATCAGATTGGTCAAGGAATGTAATCATTTTAAAACCTTTTGCAGTTGGCTGCCAACAACTTGAACCCTTACTAACTGATTCCTTGTAATCAATCTTAGGGATGCTTTTTGCCAATGAGTGTAATCTTTTTAAACCTTGCTTCTCATAACTTGGATTCCCAAGTACTCAAACTTCCTTCATTTCCCTTGGTTATCACCATTTGGCTGCATAAATTGTTATGTTTCTACAAGATATGGCATAGATATGCAAGGACAAAAAAGTTGTAACAACAAAAGTTATTTTTAAGTGGTTTATTAAGTAAATCCTTACTTGTAGCAATCTTATTTATAACAGCAGTAACCTCTGATGTATTTTGAAATTAACTGTTGATTATAAACAAGTACCTTACAAAAGTTCATAATTTATTGAAGAAATTTTATCACCATTGTATCCTGTACTATTAAAACTAATTCCACTTTAAATAAATTCGCAAAAGTTCCTTCATGTTGCACAAGCACTTGTTGTTTTAAGAAAATAATCATTATAGTCTAACATGGAGCACAAATAAATGCAAACTAAATTCCGAAACAAGGACAAAAAAAGCTGTTTGTTAGCACAATTCTTTCCTTCCTCTTACTGTTTCATGACATTTGTGCCTGCTAAAAATTTCAAACAAGTGGTAACAGCAGAGAGCTTAAATGCAAGCAAAATTCAAATTACAGGTATTCCTAAATACAATGAGAGATTTTTTGTACAACTGTGTCAAGTTTTATACTGATTCAGCGTGGAGAAGGAAAAAAAAAAGATTGCTGTCCTAAGCTGTGGCAGCCTTCTTCCCCTGGTATGTTGCTAACATTTTCTTTATCTCAGCAATGGCTTTTCCTGGATTCAATCCCTAGGAATGGAACATAAGATTAATTAAAATAACAACTCAAGAGAGTAAAATGCAGTACTGTTTCAATTTTGTCCTTGCTCTCAGGTCTGAGTTATTTAAAGAACAAGATTTGTGCAAACAGTCTGTTTTGAAGAAAATTACACACCCTGCATAGCACATGTCTTTGTGTCCTTTTGCCATACCAGGCATGATGCAACAGGAAGTTGCATCATGCATCACTTGCTTATTTGCTTATTTGTTTGTCGTTTTTCTCCATTCTATACCATGCCCCTACACAACTCCAGCTCCAGTAATGGTCTTAACACTCGATCAAACCAGTACCCCAGGTCATTTTATTAAAATTAACTAGTTTATGTTATACATATTAGGGAAAACACATCTGAAACCTGGAAGGATCTAATAAAAACTGAGTAAATACAATTTGGGCAACTTAAAAGTCCATCACACAATACATGAGTTAATGAAAACTTGCTGATCAATACTAAAACTTCTTCCTGTTTTTGTCTGAAATTCAAATTGGGGTCCACTGTTTCAATCCACGATTACCGGTAAACAATATATTAGTTACCTTAGGACAAGTCTTGGTACAGTTCATGATGGTATGACACCTGTATACTTTGAATGGATCAGAGTCCAGTTTAGCCAAACGTTCTTCAGTGTAGTCGTCCTAGGATTATTTCAGATGTTAGAAGTTATGTATGGCTAAAGTATCAAAACATAATACAACTTGTCTCTCAAACTCAAATCTTACAAATGCATTCAACTAAGTTTTTATGTATGCATGTACATGAGGGACACCCATGTCCCTCATGATGCATGAATACAAGAGGCAGTTGGAAACATTTGACAAAAGAATTTCATTATGGTTAAACAATGATAGGGAAATGCCTAAAATAGGTTCAAGAAACAATGGTTTCTAAATTATGTTAGGGTCAACATTACAAAAAGGTTTCTTGTGCACTAACAGCCAGGTTCATTACCAGGTAAACTAACTTGATATTAAACTAACCCGACTGTCAATCATCCAGCGGTAAGCCTGCATGAGGACTGCAGGTCCAAGGTACTTGTCACCATTCCACCAGTAACTGGGACAAGAAGTGCTGCAACATGCACACAGGATACACTCGTACAATCCATCCTAATGCGAACAAAGAAACATTGTAAGAGTTGGGTCTCTTGCACATAACATTTGTTTCCATGGTTGGCCTGTCTTAAGATTCATGGCTGTATGATGAGAAAAGGTTATCACATGCTACCACACATTAAGGTCACAATAATGAGAGAAACGATCACAAACTTAAGAGGCTCTTGATTGCTATACAAGTTCTTCTCAGCACTTTGGGAAATCAATGGAGAACAGTATGGAGAATATACATGCTGGTGTTAGGGTGTTAAAAGTAAAATCTTCATCTGATTGGGTAACAAACCAGTTTCTTCCTGTCCTCAATCGATTGCAAGTATTGTTCCTTTCCATATTCCACCTCAGTCTTCTTTTGGAGGTAAGGTTCAATTGAGCGATACTGCTCGTAGAAGTTGTTCATATCCTACAAGAGAAAAAAAAAACTTGATAACTACCTGTTTGGAGCTCATCTGCAGATGATCAAAGAAAATGCAAAAATTTAGGAATGCATATAATACTAAGTAAATGCAGACAGCACTAATTAAAAATACATTGGATGAGTTCAAATCATTGAAAGAATTGTTTTAAACTTAAAACTTCAAACAAAAGGAGAAGAAACTTACTGGCACAAGATCTTTAACCACATACATGTGTGGCAGTGGATAGATCTTGGTTTTCTTTCCCTCGTCTGGGTTGATGCGACTGAGAGAATAAAATAATTACATAAAGTTAAGGGATTGATTTTGTTTCTATAATATTTATGTATAACAATAGTTTATGGCGAAACAGAGAATTATGCTGATTAACTAGTTTTAGAATCTTGCCAGCATTGATAGAATTAAATATAATAATTCTGCATTTCCAAGATGACCATGGATGCTTAGGGTTGCTATTCTCTCTTTTAACAGTTATATTACTCGTTCAAGTTTATTACTTTATGAGAAGGCATGACCCCCACAAGAGAAAGAGCAGTTGCAATAGTAGCATGCTGCATCAATCTCACTAGTAAATATATGAGCTCTTACAATGCTAAACACCCTTAGGGACCAACTGAAGGTCTTTCAGTCCAAGTTCACCCTTAACACCCTAACGTCAGTATGCATATTCTCCATACTGTTCTCTACACATTTCCTGAGGTGCTGACAAGGAGAATTTGGTTAGCAATGTTGAGCTTCGTTAGATGGTGATCATTTCATTTATTCTCATGACCTTAATGTTTGATCCTAGGGAGATATTGTAAGGAGAAATTAGATGCTTGTCACTCTTAGGAGTTAAAGGTAATAAGCCCTGACATACAGTAAGTGGTTACTCAGTGAAAACATGGTTAGAACTAACCTTATACAAGCTAATGTGTTTGTTCCTCCAATGTTCATGGCACACGAGCCACAGATTCCTGCCATGGATTTGGAGGGAAATGTCAGTGAGATCAAACAACCTGATACATTGGTCTTAACATAACATAATTGTAAAATAAGTTGTAGTTTATCATCCTGGCAGTTAATAATCATTAATTTTGTCTAACAATTTGGTCACTGTGGATGTGGATTGGATGTGAATGGTGGATAGTGACTGTATTGTGAGACAAATGATTATACTTCTCTATTGAAAACAAAACATAACATTACCAAATAAGTGACTGTGACAAGTACCTTCTCTACATGATCTCCTGAATGTCAGTGTTGGATCATCTTCATTTTTTATCTTTATCAATGCATCAAGGACCATTGGACCACATCTGAAAACAAGTTTTCCCAGATATGACAAAACTCAGTGAAAATTGATTGCTTTATTATAAACTTTTCTTGATTTGGTCAATGTTGTACTAACAGTAGTATTGCCTTCAATCTTAATATAGACCAGTTAAGGATGTACATTTATATCTACGGTAACTTACTACCACACAGAAGACAATTTTCATAACATGCTGAAAGAAAATGTTGAAGAAACATTGGGTCTATGAATTGTAACTTCTTTGGTTACATTCATTAAATCTGTAAACCAGAGTAGCATCAAACCATGTCTGATGTTGAAAGAAACGAATGTATAAACAATAATTTAATCCACTAAGTTTGTCAAAATGTAAGTCACAAACCAACAACACTTCTTCTCAGGACTTCACTCACCCAGACAACCAGACCATTTTCTCTCATAAAACATGTATTTTAAATGACATACCGGTTTAGATCAACTTGATATTCCTGCATCCTAGGTTTGTCACCAGGCTTGTCTGGATCCTAGAAATGAATGAGAAATGTGAAAAACCAGCTATCATTATTTACCCCACTAAAACATTCCTATGATTTTGGTCTAATTGGTACAATGTTGTGATCCTTTAAAAACAGTTTAATATTTATTCTGTTTGCAACCCACTGTGCAATTAAAAACAAATGACAACTGATTTACTGTCAGTAGCAAAACTACTTTGGATACTTACCCAACGATAAACAGAAAATGTTTTCATTCGAGGACTGTCACTAGCTGATGTAGCATCTCGCACCAGAATCTGCAGAATCAACACAGCACATTACACATTTGAATAAAGGAGGTAAGTTTCTATAGAAACTGTGGTGGTGCATCGGTGGGAGAGTACAACAGGGTGATTTAGTATTATTCACAGAGTTGATAATGTCAATTGGCCCCTGTAAAGAGTTTCAAAGCTGATGTTTCAATTGTTAGCCCTTTGTCAGAGCGAAGGTGAACAGCTACCACTTGAAACTTCAGCTTTAAAACGCTTTACAGTGGCCAATTTACAGTTGTTAATACTAAACTACCCTACATTACACATTTACTTTTAATTAATTCAATGAATCTATCTGAAGATCACAATGAGCGGAAGATCAGTTAATGAGCGGTCCCAGGGCCATGTCTTTGGTATCCATGAGAGGGATCATGGCTTTTCAACCCTTTAATTCCTAGGAGTGATTAGCATCTAATTTCTCTTTACATTATCACTATTAAATCAAGCATTAATTAATGTTAGGAGAATACAGGGAATAAACAAAAAAATTTAAAAAGCTCTTGCATGTTTGACAAATTCTCCTTATCAATAACATATGAAATGCATAAAGAACAGTATGGAGAATGTGCATAGTGATGTTAGGGTGCAAAGGGCTAATAAACATGCAGTCTGTTATTGTCAGAGGTACAAACTGGTTTCATTGTCTTTGGTTTTGTTGAAATGACTGTGTATCTTCTTTTCTAAAAGTCTCATATCCATTATTATACTCTGAATTTAGAAATACTAGTAATAATCGTTTCGATTGTAAGATTTCAATTAAAAAAAGGAAATTCAGTCATATAGAAAGGTTAATTATTGCATCATCGACGCTTTACCAGTAATATTACTCCAGTGTGTAGTGCTGTAGTTCTTATTGATGTAAGACAGTTAAGGTACATAATTATCTAGAGCCGCGAACAGCGATGTAGTTTTTTGCGAGGGAAAAATAGTTATTTTGGAGATTAATCTGGAGAAAAAGTTTAAACGCTCTTGATACATTTATGAAATATGGAGACAGAGAGAAACGAAACAAGCTTAAACTCTTACGAACGCCGGATGATCGAATTGAGTACCCTTCATCGTTGCCTATACGATAGACAAACTGTTAAAGGATCGAAATAATCTTACACACTATAAAATATGAAGGAAGTATGTCCTCGATCACATTTAGTGGTGATCAATGACGCAAAACTGTGTAAAACCTTTGACGTCCCTAGAGGTACGCTCGACACGGAAAATACTATGACAAAGTTTCTTGCTGTTACGACAAGATCAGCCGCCTCATGATACAACCAGACCATTATTGTTTCGATTAAATGTCACATACCTTAGAAATAGCCACTGCTGGTCGTAACTGCAGGGCTTTGGTAGTTATGTTTCTTGCACAGACTACAGTTGCAGTCGCCATTTTGATTACATAAGTTAAATTGACTGTGCGTGGCAGCACGTCTTCACACGGGGGATTGGGACTGCGTTATACTCGGTGAGAGAGGGGTGGCTGAGGAGAGCAAAGTCGGACTAGATAGGGGAGGGTAGAGTGAATAATTCACTTTCCACGCAGTGACACTAGAATCGTAAAATTACGGAAATGTTAGTTATTCGATGTCTTGACGAACAGTTTTGATGAAATTGTTATTCCGCAAACTTCGCATCTATGTTCTAAGTTTTCATCTGACAAGTGGGTAATAACTCGAATGAAGTACGACCCGAAAAGGCCGTGCAGTTATTTCCGAAAAACCCTTTTGGTGTCAAACGAAATGGATTTGGACTTTCATTGTTGTCGTTGGAGATAGATTTTTATTATTAGCCTCTTAGCCAACAAAAGTTAGACTTAACCCTTTAACTCCCAAGAGTGACCAAGACAGAATTTCTCCTTACAATATTAATACAATATCAATCAGACAAGTCATGAGAATAAAGAAAAACATTAATTAGGGGATTACTAGTTGATCCAATACCAAATTCTCCAAATTTAAATCACAAGAACTATATGGCAGACAGTAAGGAGAATTACCAATGAGATCTTGGGAGTTAAAGGGTTAAGTAAGTAAGTTAGTAAGTAAGTGACCTTTATTTAAAGCAGGGTGGCCCATTCAGCTACGAAGCTGTTGTCCAGAGGGGCCCAGTATACGCCTAAAATCAATTACAATGATCACTTGTAGTCTAAAAACTTGTGCTCTAAAAAACCTTTAAAAAAACTACAGATATGAATTGTTTAAGTTGATACCATGTTTTCATAGAAATCACGAGAACGTGAGGTTCTCGTGATTTCTGTACATGTGAAAATGTAAGTATGTTATGACAACGCAATGAGTGTGATTTCTTTCAGGTAATCAACGTCTGGAGAGAAAAAGCTTGCGGATGACGGAAAAAGCGAAAACACCGTACTTAGTCAATAATGCCCGAATTAAACCTTGCACATGCATGTTCTTAATTAAGATAGTATTTGTTTTACCCAAATTTGTGATTGAAACTCATCGGAAGTGTAAGAAAATTTTTTGCAGTTGACGAAAGCAGCAAAAAATTCATTTTGACTTCCAGTGGACTTCCCCCTCCAGGCTTACACTTCCGATGAGTTTCAATCACAAATTTGGGTAAAAAAAATACTATCTTAATTAAGAACATGCAAGTGCAAGGTTTAATTCGGGCATTATTGACTATTATTGAAGTACGGTGTTTTTTGCAGTTGACGAAAGTAGCAAAAAATTCATTTTGACTTCCAGTGGACTTCCCCCTCCAGGCGTGACCAGCGCAGTACAAATAAACCAGACAGGGTATATTGTAATTACGGATTAGTGAATAAGTCCAGAGCTTTTCCTATCTTCGCCTCTCAATACATATACTGTATACTGTGTTAAAAAAAATTAACAGAGGCAATCGTTATTCAAAGATAACCTGTCAGGCTCGTGACATTTCAGGTTTGCGTAACTTTTTGAAAAACTGCTGACCGCATAACTCAGTCGATTTGGTTACTCGCCGAGTATTACTTGCGGGACGTTCTGTAGTGAAATTTTTGGCGGAAATGTTCAAAAAGCAAAAGAAGAAATCGAAAGAAGAAACACAGACTGTTGATAACAAGCTACAAAACCAACGTTCATCAAACATCGGCACTGATTTGTCGTTTGATGTCATCGAAAATAGAAGTAATGGTGAAGTAACAGATGCCGATCAACCTGATGGCTTTGATTCTCAGGGGTTTGTCGATTTGACTCCGGCAGAAAATCGACCTGTATTACTGGGACCCAAACAACTTTGTCAGGTATTTAACTGAATAGTTAATATTTTTTGCCAAACGACTTTTGCATTTATATTCCACCCGTTTTAGAGAAATTGTGTAACATGTTTGAAACAAGTTCCGCGCACACAAACAAAAAAATATTGAGCATAGCTTTGGCCAAAATCTATTTATTTGAAACGAGCACGTTTGAACAAAACGTATTCCTAGAAATTTACTCTCAGTCTTACGTTCGCTCGCGAATTTTTAAAATCCTTTGGTTGAACTGGATGAACCGTAATGTTCAGCGGAAACATCAGCAGACTAGCTTTCGAAGTCACATGCAGTTTTTGATGATATAGGTGAAGCTGTGAAAACAAAACATTGAAAAACAAGAGACAAAACATGTCCGTAGCAAGAATCTTTATTAAGAAGGTAAACGACGTTTTTGTACAAGTCTGCAGACTGTCTTAAGAGGTACTAGAAATGTTATTGAATAAAGGACTTTTCCCAAGGTTTCATCGTGCGTAAAGCAATATTGGCTTTTCCTTGATTGGCTATTATTTCAAAGGTGTTAATTTGCCACTTTCAGAATTTTCCTGATATCTTTTGTTATGTTGAAAAACTCTTAATTATTAGCCCTTCTGCAGACACCAAAGACGCTTTTTTTAAGAAGTTTGTTTTTGGTTTTTGAGTGTGTGTGTATGTGTGTGTGTTTTTTTTCTTCCAGCACGAATTATTTAGTAGTCTGCTCTTTGCATAGTATGGAAGGTGCGCGCACAGCATCTTTTTCAAACGTTCATCTTGCACACCAGAACCGCTGCATTCACGTGCAGGATCTCACCAGGCTCTGCCATCTTTCACCTATTTATTCGTTGTTTAATAATCCATATTAGATATGTCTCTAAATTGTAGTGATGACTGTTTTCGGTCTTTCTAGACCTTAGCAGCACAATAATATATTATTGCTGTTTTTCTCTATTTATTCCATATTTTTGATTAATTCATTTATTCAGTATGTTGGAACATTTGCTGTGAGTCTGGGTACAGGAGGAGAGGGGACAAAAACACTAACAACACACAAGGAAAGAACAAGATTTGTAAAAAAGAAACTCAAAGAATATCGGGTAAGTTGTATATCATAGTTTAGGTTGTCAGGATTGAGGGATTATAGAACCATTTATGTCAAGAAATAACTTGATGTTCTTAATATGCCTTTTTTTTTTTAAAATATACAGCTTTTACTGAATGGACTTCTTTCATCAGCTCTGAGGCAGCATAACTTAAAAACCCTTTTGTGATATAAGTTTGCTGTATTTGAATTTATGTATATATGTTCTGCTTTATCACAGACACAGACTACAGTATTTAGATTTTACCCCTTTGCATCCTAACATCAGTATGTGTGTTTTCCATACTATTCTTTATACATTTTCTAAGGTGTTGATAAGGAGAATTTGTTTAACCCTTTAACTCCCAGAAGCGATTAACATAAAACTTCTCCCTACAATATCCATACATTCTTCAACAAACAGGTAAAGAGAATATTCAAATTTATCAGGTAGAAGCTACTATCTTGATCTAGCATCAAATTCTCATTGACTAATTTACAAGGAAATGTTTAGCAGCTACAGGGGAGAATTAACAATCAGATCTTGAGAGTTGAAGGGTTAACAATCGAGAGCTTTAGGTTGTGATCATTTCCCTTTTTCTTGTGACCTTAATATGCATTTTACGGGTGACATACAAAGAAGACTTGAAGTTTAAAGGATCAAGCCTTATTACCCATAAAAAACTGTTTTACTAGACTGCCAGAGTCTGTAAGTCACAAACTTTCTCTGAGTGTTAAAAACTAAGAAACTGAGTGCACATAACACAGGTTTTTTGATCAAAGAATAATAAAGAATAATAATACAACCCACAATTGGAACATCTTGGAGATGTAGATGGAATATAAAATATGTATATACTTTTCAGCTGACTTATGATCCTGAATTTGTTTTGAACTGGTGAATCTACTGATCTGCAAAGCTATTCACCTCCTCTTATGGAAAAATGAAAAAAGTAAATTTGTTTCAGTTGTATCAATTGTTCTGGCCTAAGTGTTTCATAAAGGGGTGAGTTTCTAAAGAAACTGTGGTGCTGTGTTTTTGGAGGGTAGAAAAAGATAATTTGGTTTTATCAACTGTGGTATTAATGTAAACTGGCCACCATAATGAGTTTCAATGCTAAGTATTTTATAGGCAAGTGAAAGCAAAATAGAGAGTTGGTCTCTCCCCTATGAATATAACAAATTTTAGTTTACATTTCATAGCTTTAAAATCTGAAACATGGAGCTGTCAGTACATGATGTCAAATGTTTTCATCTTCAGAATGCCCAGAAAGGTGTAGGTGTGGCTATTCTCACCTCTACTGATGGAATCAAGGTTGTTTCTCCAGATGGCAAGGTAGTAGATTAACTTCTGGCTACTGTTCTTTTTATTTTAGGATCATGTTTTAAAAAGTGTCAAGGGATTTTGGAAAGATTTATTCTCATTTCCTTTTTCCTGATTTGAAAGGGGAGACTGTTAAATATGATCATTGCTCATCCCAAAACTGAAAATCCATCCTATCAATTTGAACATATCTTTCCTACAGGCCATACCTGTTAGACTGACTTGTATACTTTTGATTTAACCCTCTATCTCCCAGATGGGTTAAACATGTAACTTCTCTCAACAGTATCCATACATAATCCAGTAAATAGGTTATGAGAATATTCAAACTTATTGCACAGAAGTTGTTATCTTGATTTACCGTATTTACCTGTGTATAATATGCACTTTTTTCTATAAAAATAACCATCAAAATCGTGGTGCATATTATAAACGGTTTCTATTGTTTTTCAAGCACATCCTAATTTGCATCCGTTTAAAACACAATAAAGAAATTAACAAAAGCCTAGAAGTAATTGGTCTTTATTAGCTTGAGTTAAATAATCTACCGATGAAACATTTTCAATTTCGATCCACAAACACAACAAAGAAAGTAATGAAAGCCTCGTAATAATTGGTCTTTATTGGCTTGAGTTAAATAATCTACCAATGAAACCTTTTCAATTTTGATCCATAAATACATTTATTAGAGTATTTAAGAAACAGCTGACGAGATAAACATTACAATCATACCGTATTACTGTAATCACAAGCAATAAGAAATCTGAAATGGTAATGAAACTTACCACTGCGAAACATCAGTTGTAGGAAGAATTAACATTTTTTTTTTGTTGTGAAAACTTTTTTTTATGAAAAATTTGGTCAAAAATCGGGGTGCATATTATACATGGGCGCATATTATACACGGGTAAATATGGTAACACCAAATTCTTGTCACTAATTTGCAAGGAAAAGTGTAGCAGCAAGAGGGGAGAATTAGCAATCAGATCCTGGGAGTTAAAGGGTTAAAGCAATTTCTGTTCTTTCTTGTTTTCATTTTACTATGCCTTGATGGAACAAGAGAGCTTGGGTCATCCTCCCAACCAATCAATTTCAAAACTGAAACCAGGTGCAATTTGATCACTGCCATTTTCTTAGTATACATCAGGCAGTTTTTCTAGTATTTTCTTTGAATTCATGTTGTCTCCTTGAAACATTGTCCTCTGTTATAACAGGCTATTGTAACAGTTATTACTTGTGGGTATTGGTTATATAACAGCTAATTAAAAAAAGCATTGTCCTTGACTGTTCTCTTTACCTCTTCTAACATGCCATTGTTGGGAGGCACAACAAGAGTGAATTGTCTCACCAAAGACCAAAAACAATCACTCTCCCTAGAGCTCAAACCCCAAACTTTCCATCCAAATTCCAGTGTTAACCATTTTACCTCTATGTTTTCCTTTGTTCTTATATAATAGTTTTTTATTTCAAGATGGTAATACTTTGACTTTGACTGGTTGTTTCTTTGTTTGTTAGCGTGTTAGAATGGCCCATCCATTACAAAGAATCTCATTTGCAACATGTGATCCAGAATTTAGACTCTTTGCTTACATGTCGCATGACCCCTCCCCAGTGGGAACAGCAATACACTGCCATGTTTTCATGACAAAGTACACAAGGCAGGTATGTGAGAATAACTTTTAAAAAGCATTTTCTTATAACAATGCAAAATTATTGTTTTATTTATTCTACACTTTCATCTTTCTGCACTTTTCTCAAATGGGCAGCAATGGTTGTAAGTTGTGCTCACAAGTGCAGCTGATGTACAAGCCTTAAATTTGAAGACCTGTTCAAAGGGTCATGATTGTTGATGATAGTCAATAATATTTTAAACTTTCATTCACTATCATTCACTGTCACGTTTGCATTCAAACAGTTCATGATAGTTGATGATAGGTGACAAAATCATGCCATGAGATTGCATAATTGCAAACAACCATGACATTTGAAATGTTGGTCAAGATGTTGCAAGTTGAAGAATCACTAAAGCCTACCAGGAGATAATGAGAATTTGAACTATGCTGCATTCTGCAAAATTTTGGCATCTATTTTAGTCATTTTATCATTTGCCATTTTGCTTTGAGCCTGTTTTTGGCAAAGCTGCTGACTGCATTTCTATCACTTAGTATAATTAGCTCATTCAAACAGCAAAAACTATCATAACTATCATGCCAAATTTGTCCAAACTGCACAATAATTGATGATAGTGGATGATGCATTATAAGTTGTGCTCAAACTCACAAAATAGTTGAAACTTTCGTCAACCATCTTGACTGTTTGAAGGACACTTTACTTTCCAGCTTGTTCTTAGTCCTCCTGTTTTTTTTAATTCCCCTCTGATAGGTTCAGAGTCTCACAGCTTTGGTTGGTAAAGCATTTCAAGTAGCATTTTCTGAATCAAAGTTTCCACAGGGAACAGAAATTAAGCTGGAACCGCTGAAGAATGGCCCAGATGGAAAATCACCTCAAGGAAGGAAGTGGGTCAGTACACCCTTGCTAGTAGGATTTTGCTATTAAGCTGCATAGATGATTTGAGTTGATAGTGGTTTCCCATGTCACAGAATGTGAGGGGACATCTTGATGTGAAAGGTTTTCAGCCCTTTCACTTCCAAGATCTCATTATAATTCTCCTTATTGTCTGCCATCCAATCATGATGTTAGTTTGGAGAATTTGATATTGGATCAACTAATAATCCCCTAGTTTATATTTTGTGTCATTCTCATCACTTTTCTGCTTGGTGTGGTATTGATATTGTAAGGAGAAATTCCATGTTGGTCACTCATGCAGGTTAAAGAGTTTAGGTGGTGGACCATGACATAGTGTGTGTGGTTGATAGGGGAACTGACTGCATCTGTAAGGTGTTTATTGCAGTGGGTTTGACTTTGATTGTTACTGACATGGTACATGTGGGTCCTGGAGAACCTGGAAAGTCCTGGAATTTTATTTTGACATTTTCCAGGACTGGAATGTACTGATTCCATAGCCTTTTCATCTTTTAGGCCAAGCTTGAGGCCCAACAGGGACATGAGAATTCTCAGCATGCAATGCTTGCAAGGTTAAAAAAGGAACAAGAAAAAGTAGCGAACAGAAGTAGTTCGCCTAATTCTTCTCCAAGGGAACAAGCCGCACCTAAGGAAGAAGCAAAAGTAATGGAGCAAGCCTCGCCAACACCGTCTAAACCATCACCAAGGATGGGAAGACGTAGGTCTTTTGGCAAAGCTCGTACCCCACCTGAAGTCCGCAGGTCGAATATTCCTCAAGGTAATGGAGTATTTGGGCAACACGATAGAAAGGCTGACCCCTCCGATGTAGTCACCGATGGAAGCCCTGTGGCGCAAAGGAAAATCGATGGAAGCCCTGTAGCACAAAGGAAAATCGATGGAAGCCCTGTAGCACAAAGGAAAATCGGTGGAAGCCCTGTAGCACAAAGGAAAATCAGTGCTCCAGTTCAGGGAAACAAAATTTACACGCCACCATATGAAGAACGTGCTGCAGCTCCTGTGATTACCAGAGAACGTTCAAATACTCCGCCACCATCGCGGAGCGACGCAGTTTCATCAAAACAGAATGTTTCAATGTTGCCAGTTGCTAAGACTGCATCTGACCCGAATTTGTCAGCAGCAGATCATGAGCTGACAACAGGCAATCGACACGAATCCGTGTCTAAAAGTAACAGCCATGAAGATGAAAATTGGTACATGCCTGGGATACCAAGGTTAGCGTCAATATCGAACGAGTTGTAATAGTTATTTGGGCAACCAGGGTTATTAAAAATTCACTATGAAACTATCTTTGGTATTGGTTTGATATGAGGCCTATATGAGGCTTTCGCAAACAAATATTTCCGCGAACAAGCAGGCAGGAAACGTTTCTTGCTTGGCAGGGACATCTTGCCCTTTCTCAATTGGACGACATTTTCGCCTGATCTGATTGTTAATTCTCCCCTCTAGTTGCTACATTCGTAGTACGAGAACTTGGTGTAAAATCAAGAAAACAACTTCAACTTGATAAGTTTAAGTATTCCTGTTACCCATTTGCTGGATAATGTATGGATGTTATAGGGAGAGGTTACATCTTAATCGCATTTGGGAGTTAAAGGGTTAAGGAATGCAACTTATTTTTTAACGAAGTCCCTTTAAAAAAAAAAGCAAAAGGGAGTCTTTTAGAGGGTGATAATGCAATAAGGCAGGCGGGACTTGACTAGCAATAACCTTTCTAATGAAACGAGAGTGATCAAGATAATTTCAGGTATGGTGAATGTCATTGCGTGTCCTCTTATAGGGAATTTGTGATAGAGATGTTACAGAATTCCGAGGAAGGCTCATTCTTTGTGCGCGACAGTCAAAGTAGACCAGGGTGTTTCGCTTTGACTATGCGTGTTCCAAAGGAGGCAAATCCTAGTGGTTTTGGAAACTTTCTGATAGTGAAAGTGAAAGATGGCGTCATGATACAGGTAAGGAGTGTTAGTTGTAGTTAAGGAAAATACAACGATAGTGTATGAGTTACTCGCTCGCATTTTCTGCCGTATGTCTCTGTTTCAGCTTCGTTCCCAAGGTGTATAAGGTCGTTTCTTTTTTCCTCCCTTGAAAAAGGAAGCGAGGGAATCCTGGGGGTGAGATTGTCTTGGTTGCTGTAGCTTGAAGCAAAATAAGAGTGTAGAGTAAAGCACTGTTGGAGTTAAAACTGACAACGACCCGCCAGGGAATCGACCTTGGAAACCCTCTTCTAAAGGCATTCCATAACAGTCCCTTTCACTTCACTGTTTCCCAGAATTTAAAAAATTTTCCACCCATCCATTTTTCACAGTAGGTGAACTAATATTTGGTTCTCTTTTCAACAGGGTTTTGATAAAGTCTTACCGGATCTCACAGCTTTGGTTGAACACTACTCCCAACACGCTGATGGCCTCCCCTGTAGTCTATTGATTTCTGGTTCGAATGTGTTATGTGAAGATGAAGATTATATGAATATCGTCCCAGCAGACCCTGATTATCAGAGTTTATCAGATTTTACCGCAATGATGGCTGAATTGAGTTGAGAGCATTCCAAGTCTTATTTAAACGAGACATGTAGCGGTTTGAAGAATTGCGCTTAAATTTTTCAAGGTTGTAAGTAGCAATCGGGGTCAATCTTTGCCAACCTTGAACTGGAACATCGACATTCCTTTTCAGAGTCTCCTTTTCTTTTCGACATTTGTCCTCCCTATAAAATGATTATCTCAATTTTTTATTTGTGATATAATTGGCAACAACTCAAATATTGTGACTTGACTACACAGTTGATCTGGTATTAACGGTCATTAACCCCTTTACACCCTGACATCGGCATGCATATTCTCCTCACTGTTCTCTAGACATTTTCTAAGATGCCGACCAGGAGAATTTGTCTAACAGACAAGAGCTTCTTTAGTCGTTAGTCAGTTCCTTTATTCTCCCGACCTTGATGTTTGATTTAGGAGTTATAAGGTAGGGAGAAATTAGATGCCAATCACTCTTAGGGGTTAACGGGTCAATCTTCATTTGTCTTGTATCTCTTAGTACAGTCTACAGACTCGAAGCACCTAAATTATCTAATGAAATAATCGGTGATTCTACGATTGAAAACAAAATTACTATGTCTAGTATCTACAAAAACTACTCCAGGGAATATCGAGTTGTTAATGGGGTTTGGATAATACTGTGTTTCATAACGTTATTAATATATACAGGAATGGGACCAAGGTTAAGTTATTGTGTTAAAAATATGATGAATATTTGATTTGTAAGTGCTGTAACGTGACAAAGTGTTTGGAATATCTTATGCTGGTGGAGAAAATTAATCCGCAATAGAAAGGCGGTCAACATTGACTGAAATCTTAATAATGTAATAATTTATTGATAATTTATAATTGTAATAAATGTAATTATAATAAAGTTCGGATATAACGCGCGCCGCGTGCGTTATCAGGAAGCGGGGAGAACACTCGACTAGGTCTTATGTTTCTCCCTACACTGATTTCGTGCTCTAGCCGCTTCATGCGTGCTTTACAACAGAACAGAACACAGTCAAGGCTTTTAAATCTCTATTTGTTAATTATACATTGATACTGAATGAATTAAGTTATTAGTTCTCACATGAGAGTGATTATTGGAAATAAGTCACCTTATATGTTAAATTTCCATTTGAAGTCAAGCGTGCATGTTTGAGCGGCGGAGCCACGCGGAGAATACCCCACGGCCGCCTTCATTTTTTAATTGAGCGTCCAACAGATAACCTGCATGCGACAAAAGCTTCTTAGGTCATTTAAACTATGGTGTAAAAATTTTAATTGATTTTACCCTTTTTTTTTTTTTCAAGTAAAATGCAAAAATCCATACTAATGAAAGATTGTAACAATTACGATATGCTTCCCCGTGAAATCCTGACCATTATAGGAAAAGAACTCGAATAAACAAGGGTGGTAAATGTAAAGATAAAGTTCAGAAAACGTGAACTTCTTCCTGAAGCAAGCACAAAAAAATCCGTTAAAGATGTGGATGCGCGCACATGGAACCTAACGAACAGGATAAGCTTTTTGCAACCAGGTGAACCAGGCACAAAATAGAGCGCGAACGTAAGGATTTCATCAGCTCAGTCATCAGGCTGAAAAGGAGCGGATCAGTCTTTCGATAACGCCACGGTTCAAAGTAAAACCCAGATGTAAACGATCTGAGAAATATAAGAAACAGTCTACGAGGTCAAAAAACTAAAGACATTGTCAGAAGCTTCACCAAATTGATTTATTGTATATCTCGGCATAAAAAATAGCATGCAATTTCCCAGTACTGTTTACAATTTCAAAACTTTAGAGCAACCTACCTACCTACCTATTGTACCGAACCCACAATGATGAGTGCCAAGTTTTGTGATCTTATATTATAAATAAATTTCAAACGTGATAAGTGAAATAGACCTGTTTTCAATCTCCAACCCGCATTGAAACTAAATCAGATTCGATTGCCAATCAGGACCAAGAGCAAGGGTCACGTGACCAGTCCCACATAGAATAATTCTGATTTTTACTGGTTTGGTCGATGACAACCCGTTTATGGCCCAGTCACAAAACATTTACAGGTGTTAGATCATCCTCTACGTATCACATGAACAAAGCCAAACTAAGACATTCCTCAATACAACAATGCGTTTTTTTAGGGCACAAAAGAGTATAACTTACCAAGTTTTATTTTTAACGGCGGAAAATAGAGCTGCTCCAATCAGCCTTTACTTTACTTTACTACGTTACAATTTTATTCGTGTAAAATAACATATCAATTCTAATTTTATCCTTTAGCAAGTCATCTCTAAGAAAATTACATTTTTTAGGATCTGATGGCATTGTATGGTAAATGTAGTATCTTTCCCGCACCCTCTGCCAGGTATATTCGTACTATATACATTTGTCACCTGAGAACAGGTAACACATTAGAAATTCCTCTAAAGTAAGAAAGAAAATGAGTATGAAGTATTTCGCAAGCTTTCTTTCATCTAATACCACATGTCAATATGTGTTATCTACCGTATACAAAACTGCTACACACAGTTGTTCGTTTTTGAGTCACAAAACCAAATCAAGCAAATTTATAGAAAAGTAAAAAAGAAATCAATTTATTGGCCAGGTATGAAGCGCAAATTATCAATAAGCGATTGATTCTGAAGTCCTATTTGATTGGTTGAGAAGAGCCCTTCGGGCACTTTGTAACCAATCACAGAGCTACAGTTATTCTGAATGATTCCGATACCAAACGTTTGCGATACCTTCGATAAAAGATCACGCCCCCTTTCTTGCGCAGAACGTGAACTGTTAGTGTAAATGTGTATAAGTGGTATTAAAGATATAATTTCAAGAATGACTCTACTGATTTCTATACATGAAGCTATCCAGTCTTGGAAGGCAGCCATTATACACATTCCTCTGAGGACATTAGAAGAGGATTAATGTATTCAAAGCCTTCAAACTCCGACTGATCGATGGTCTCGAGCATTTTCCTGTGATGAAAAAGTATAATATGAACCAGTGTTTTCAGTACTCCAATTTACCTTACTCAAATCTTCGATAGCTATCACATAAAATATATACCCGCTTGGTTATCTTTGTCGTCAGAAAAGAGGAAAAAGAAAAAACTTTTAAAGGGATTATTCTGAATATAAATTGCCTTCCCATTTAATCTTAAGAGTTTCACAGCACATTCTCCGAAAAAAAAGTGATTTCAAATGTTTAAACAGATGAACACCCCTTTCCTAGGTTTAGCGCCATCTTGGATTGCCTAAATATTTCATAAATGTCTTTCCCCTCATGCATGAGTTGCTTAATAGCGCAACTTGGCTAGATAACTCACCTGCCGACACTTGTACAAACAATGACCTAACACACTTTTAATTCATAACTGCCATATCGTTTATGTCAGTGTTTCCGTATGTAGAAATCATTACTGTGTACAAAGTTAAGTTAATTTGTTCAACTTACGGGTCATCTGGTGTGAGTTGAACAGGTTCATTAGTGAACTGAGGATCAAAGTTTTCCAGTCCATACTGATCTTCTATCATCGGCTTGAACGGGGGAGCCACTTGTCTTGCTTCCAACTGTTTGAATAAAACAAAAATAATAACAATAATAAGTGCAAATATTAATAATATTGGTAAGTTTGCTTTCGCCATCCGTGAAGCAATCTAAAAATTTGAACAATCTACGGGCCCGTTTCACGCAAGTTGCGGTAACTCTACGGTCCTGAAGCTATATTTTAAGATCTCATCTCACGAAGAGTCGTGTGGATCTAGGCCAAAATTCTAGTCCAGACCTTTTCCTAAATTTCATTGGACAGGTTTAATTTCAGAACTACTAAAATCTTGATCTTGAATGTACACAATGCAAACAAAGAAACTTCTTGGGACCGATAACTGGCGATAACTTTCTTCTGCAAATTTGCCCCAGATTGCTTACTGAATCTGGGTCAAAGTAGCAGTCTCAGGAGCGCTAAATCTCGCAATTATGAGCTTTTAGTTCTTGAAAAAGTGAACTTGAAGTGTTCTGTTTTTTAATCTGGAACCACAGAATTTCTGTCCACTGGAGCTCAACAAGTCTTTAGTTTGGGCCTTAATCTTCATTGGACAGCCTCCTGAAAATATACGAAATGCGAAAGAGGTAACAGGAAATTATGAGTTATGAAGGGTGTTCAAACCTGTTCCCAATCGACTGTCCGGAAGAACACATGTGATGTTATATCTGCAAATCCTGTCTGAGGATGGCAGCCTAGACGTTCGATGGGATTCTAACAAACAAGACGAAAAGACAATCTCATCAACCCCTTAACTGCTACGGCGTGCAACGATTAATATAAAAAGCACATTTGCCCGTTTGAGTTATACCTCGCCTACAGGAAATACAATTCCTTACGCCTGACCACAAATCATAACACCTAATCATACTACTTCTTCATTACACGCTGTTTCACAGTTTCGTTAATCAGAAATCTCTCTCCTTTCACAAACTTCCTACTCTTCATACGCCCGACGATTTTGAAAAGGTTGTTGAAGGCTTCAACAACCTTTTGAAATCGTCGCCACGCTGGGTGATTGTGATGAGGAAATACTTTTCAGAAAAGTTGGCAAGCAAAGTCATTGCAAGATTCTCTAGTTTTTTCCTTCCCCTTCAAATTTGTAACGTTTTTTAAAATAACCTCACCTTGTTGAGAAATCCTTTGAGTATTGAAGCCGCTTTTACAGACAGGGATCGAGGAATTCTTATAGGTTTTTCTAGAATTACTGGAAACAGGAACGTAAAAACCAACATCAGCTTCTGACAGAAATTTGAGCGCTTCACGTTTAAGTATTGCAAAAAAAAAAAATCCATCATTACGGCCAATCAGAAAGGGAATAATAGGAGCCAATGATAACTCGAAGTAAGAACAAGCGCGGGAAACCACGAGTGACCAAGACGCGTTTGTCGATTCGTATCTGATTGGTTGAGAGGATGGCTTTCCTCGATCTTACCAATCCAATATGGCGGCTTTGGCACTTGATCAGACTATTAAGCACTCTCTCGCTAGAAAATACGCCTACCATGAAGGCGTATTGGGTGTAGGTGTTGGAGAGTCTAATATTAAAACTGCAAGCTGAGTTGACCAGATGAGACAAAATCTATGCAGAAAATGGATTGAGCTGTGAGTAATGGTTGTTCGTAAAGCGGAATCGTCCTCTGTTGTCTGTAATATTAACTGACGTTTCATGAACCTAAATGACTCTCCATTTCAGGCCAATATTACAAGCAAATCTGCTTCGTTAGAACTGGTCATTGTGGTGTTATTAACTGCATGCAAGACTCAGGAGGCGTTCTTCAATTGTGATTGGTAAGTCCGCAAAAATGGGTCGTTTGTGTTTGGTGTAACAATTTAGTTAAATGATCAATGTTATAATTCTCTCAGTTGGACAAACATGTATTCTTGGAAAAAAAGGTGCTCAATAACATATAATGCACGAAACTGAAAGAAAATTTGTAATGGGAAGTTCAAGTGCTAAGGACACAGGTCTCGATTATTAAAAATAAATTGTTTACAGGCAAACCTTGAAAGAGGTAATCTTCCGTGTTTTGATCAGGATTCTCTGCACTTCCTACAACATCAAAAGGTGATCTTCCAGCTAACATTTCAAACATGAGTACTCCTAGAGCCCACCAGTCGACACTGAACCCTGAAAAAAGTTGAAAGAAAATAACCACTGTCACTCACTCTACTATGAGTTTACCCAATTCAATAATAGAAGACATGCCAGCCTAAAGGTTACGAGGCAGGTCTACGTTACATCCCTGGGTGGCGTCCAATACCGCTGTAACACTGGCAATAAATCGTAATGGACCACCGTGTTCGGGAGACCTTATGAACCTAACCACATACCATAATCTTCCCCTCGAAGAATTTCAGGCGCAATGTAGTTTGGTGTTCCGCAGAATGTGCTTGTTGTATCACCAGGACGAAGACCTTCCTAAGAAACGAAGATTACAAAACAATTATTTCATCCTTCAAGAAGAAAAGACGGCAGATTTGAAGGCTCTTTTAAAAGGAGGAGAACTTACTTTACACATTCCATAATCTGTTAGTTTCACATGGCCGTCAGAATCAAGTAAAACATTGTCTAGTTTGAGATCCCGGTAAATCACACCTAACAACAGAAACACACATCTGTTAATAAGGAACAGAAACAAAAAGAATTTCACTGCCTTTGTTGTGAGTGAAATCATCAAATTTTTGTAACATAAATGGGTCATACCTCTTTCGTGTAAGAAATTGAGTGCACATGAAATTTCAGCAGAATAAAACCTAAGGATAAATCATGAATTAATATAACTTATATTTCCTCTTACAACTCACTTTCTTTAGTAATCAAAGCATAAGTGTGACCCAAGTGTGGGTCAACCAAAATAGGTATTTAAGTTCAGTAGGAGATATGGTCCATGTTTCAACTGGGCTCTGGCTAAGGTGCAAAAAAAATGTGCAATACAGAGTGATATGGGAAATAGGCCTTGCATGAGTGAAAACACTTGTGATCTAATATTTATTTGTTTGTCTGTCCACACGTCTCTTTGACTGTCTTAATGTGTCACTTAACTGATTGTTTAACTAACTGTCTGACTATGTCAGCCTTTCCAGATCTGGGACTCAATAGCAGACGAACTGACGGATACACAGACTTAATGACTGTAAGATTCACTCTTTATTTGAAAAAACTTTCTACATGACTGGCAGAGCCTGGTTTGCAGAATGACTGAGAGAGTGTTTACCTTGCATGGTCTTCAGGTAATCTCCTCTGTCTTTGCATGTGGTACATAAGATCACCACCACTCACAAACTCAATTACAAAAAACAACCTACAAGAAAATAAACAGTTGATTTAAATTTTTTTTCAAAAAAGTATCCATTTTTTTAGTAATCCTCTGTACTTCTACATAAATTCAACTAATTATCTCTTTACATGTACCTGCTAGCAGTTTGGAAACACGAATGAAGTCCAACCAGGAATGGATGATTTGATGCTTGTTCAAAAACATGTTTCTCTGTTTGAACCCAGTCAATATCCTTTGCAAAGAAACCAAAACACAATCCATGCATAACTGTTATCACAACTGAGTGCATCTAGAGTTTTGCATCATCATCTACACTACCTAAGCCATAAAACAAGAGAAAACTACAAACATGCACTTTTTGGATAAACACCAACCTCATCATCATTAACAAGCTCTTTCTTTACAACTTTCATTGCATATATTCTCTTATTTTTCTTCAACTCGACCTGGTAGAGAAGAAAGTAGTAAAAATTTGTCAGCGAGCTTTTAAAATACTATTATTTTTAAAGTAATTTCATAGAAATTAAAATTTTCTCTTTGGTGGTGAGTACATTGCCAGGTGCTAAAGATAGGAGGCAGACTTGAGTATTGACAACAGTGTAATTGCAAGGGGAGGTGGTTGGTTGGCTGGCTGGCTGAACAAAGTGGAAGCCCCTGGTTATCCAAAGCACTGCAGGACAGCAGTTATTGTTTCCTTTAAGGATGTTCCTCTTATGTGTATGTTAACAACAAAATACACTTAACATGCACATAGATACAGGCGTAGGTGTGTATATTTAACTTCACAAAGTCCCTGTATAAATTTTGAATATTTACATATAAGCATATTCATTTCTGCTTCATTAGTATGTTTGAACTAGCTTACTGTTTTTCAATGTTGACGGGTAATTTTTCTGAGGCAAAGACTAATAGCACAACAATACTAAACAACTGCAGAGTTGTTTGTTTCAATCACCACTCAAGCTGACCACACTTATACACATGTATTATGCATGTATACAACTTCTTACTTGAAAAAGTATAAACAAGTTGTCATCTTTGAACAAAATTTTGTCATCAAAAAAGCTGTTTCTCATCACTCAAAAATTTATATCCAACGCAACCACTTGGGAATGTTTAAAATAAATTTCCACCCAGTATATTGTAAATATATTGAGGAGGTTTAGAGGATGATACTCACCAACAAAACTTTAGCATAGCTGCCCCTTCCTATCACTCTGAGAAGAGTAAAGTCATTCAGTGAAATCAAGAAATTGTTTCCAGATGATGCCTCCTTAGCCTTGGATCCATGTGAATAATCAACAGTAACAAGGCCTCGCTTACGAGTTGCTGGACTGTCACTTCTCGCTGCATACATGAAAGAAATATTGAGAATGAAACAAATTAATTTTCAGCACCTGTCAAACAATAATCCTGCCTTAGGAGATTTAAATTTTCTAGACTGGAAAATATTTAAAATATGACACACATATCAGTTATAGAGGAACAATACCAAAATTCAGCATCATCATTAGGTGGTTAATATATATATAATTGCACTAATAAGCCCCAAAAGGGTCCTGTAAGTTTCCAGGACTTTCAGAAGTAGGATGGGTTGGAAATGGATAGGCTATTTCAAAAATAGTGAAAGGCAAAATGGGAGTTATTTTTTCTTTCTCCACTATTAATTATCTTTTATGAATTTTGCGCACAACGAGTATGTTTAAATGCCTTCCGATGAAAGCATTCAGCATAAAATTGCAATTCAAGAAGTGACAAACTGAAAATAGAAACTACCAGGAAGAAAAGTTTAAAGTTTCAAAAAATATATTGCTTACTTCTTTTGGGTCCTGGTGCTTCCTCTGCTGGGGGAAGTTTTGTGCCCACTGCTCCAATGGGAGGGAGTGATGAATGAATTGTTTGACTTGATGGATGCTAAAGGAATAAAAAACAATTAGTGAAAGGCAAATAAACAAACTATGCCAAGTTTAAAACAACACTTAATACAAAAAGTTAAGTCATCCCCAAGTAACTCACTGGTTGTTGTCCACATTGGATCTTTATCAACTTGTGGCATTTTTTATGAACAACTAGCTTGCATTCAAGACATTTGTAACCCTACAAAAGAATTAAATGAGGTTAGGTCAAATGTGGCACAAGAATAAAACAAGGAAAATTCACAATCATGAATTAATGCTAGGGTGTACACAAACTTCAAAAGTAAAGCACAATACTGAATTTCTTTGCTTGCTCTATTAAATATTGCTTTATTGAACACAGCACTTATTGAATACCTGTCTACCAAGTCCCCAAATTCTATCTGAACAAAACGAACAAGCTGCAAGCTGAAACAAAGATAAATATAATCAATTTAGAGTCTCAAGGCAGCATCCATTCTAACAAATGTGGTGGTCATACATTCCATACTCCAAGAGGTTACACAAAGCAAAATTTAACCCATTAACTCCCAAAAGTGATGAACATGCAGTTTCTCCTACTAACATCCATACATCACACAGCAAACTGATAACGAGAATACTCAAACCTATCAAGTAAAAGTTGTCATCTTGATCTATCACCAAATTCTTAATAATTAATTTACAAGGAAATATGTAGCAGTTAGAAGGGAAAATCAAAAATCAGTTCTAGGGAGTTAATGGATTAACATTAAGTTTTGACCAAAGCAAAGTCAACTCACCCGACTAAATCTCTTTGCCACAAATGAATGACCATTAACTCTGTGGATCTTTCTCCATCTCTTTGCTCCTCGTCTGTAGATATTCCCTGAGCAATAAAAACACAAAAATATTTTAATCAGCTAACCGTTGAATCTTACAGTTAATAACAAAAACAACTGACCAATCTATCTTTATAAACAAACTTTAAACTCTACATTTTAAATTAATTATACAACAACAGCTCTTCACTTTTGACTCTAATAATGACACCCCCTTGCTTCTCAAAAGCTTTGTCTTGTTGACCTGTGGCTTACGACATGATACTCAATAAAATAAGCTGTTCACCTCAGATTCAAACCATTTTCTCTCAGTCATGCTGTTACTAATCATGTCAACTCTTAATAATAAGTGTAAATATATGAAAATAATTACTGCAAAGATCACTTTCAAATGCATTTCTTATTATTAAGTCACCATGGTAATTGATTTTTTAAATTTATTGCTTGATCACTATAAAATGAAGGATAATTTTTCCATTATCTGCTGTCAAGAAGTTAGTTCCACAATAATGCTACAATGATCATGCAACGATGGCATTTCCTATCTTATTTACAATTAAATTTCATGGCTCTCTAGCATGGGTAGTTTCCCATAATTCATGATTTGAACACTGAATTTTCACTTATTTCTTTTTTAAAGAAAATAGTTAGGATCAATTTAGAGCAGAATTTACATAACATAAAAAGAAATAACATGCTTCATTTTCTTTCCATCTCTATATTAATTAAGTTATTCAAGCCCACTCAAACTAAGAAAATAATTTTCTTCCACAAAGATAGTTAGTTGCATCTGATTGACTGAAAAACAACATGTTGTCAATTAAATATTTATATATTATGCAATATTATCAGCATGACAATAAAAAAATCCCCTTGCTACAGGGCTAAAATGTTACATCAGTACATGCAAGAATTTATATGAACCTGTAGAATCATGTACTGTACATGTGCAAAGTACGTTCTTAGGACTGAATCTGAAGAAAGCATGCTTTATAATGCAAAATGATCATGTTTTTCATTTTTCATTTTCAATTTATAATCATTTTTTAATCCTTTTCCTGTAGGGCAGAAAATTAACCGATATGATGTTCTAATAACTTCAAGCAGCAAAACATACTTCATGTAGTAGGAATATTTCCAAGAGATGTTGCTGAAAAAACCTGTGGCAGCTGATGTGATGCCACACTAAATTCGTTGTGTGCAGTGAACAGATGCACATTCACAAATGAATTTAGCAAAATGGTTTCAATCAGGAAAGTGTTTACCTATCCTAGATGAGACAGTTAATCCTTTGAATTCTTCGCCAAATGCAACAGAATGAGGACGTCTGGCTTTTCTACCACTGCTGGAAGTTTGTTGTTCTGATCCATGTGATTCCTCTGTTTCATTATTTTGCCGTGTCAACACAGAACTTAGACTTCCAGAAATGTTCCTGTGCGCACGTTTAATGGAACGGAAGAAGCGAGCAGAAGCTTGTCGGATGAAGCCAAATTTCTGATTTGCTTTTTGGGCCTCATATTCTTCTTCTACGCATGCTCCAAACAAGCCAGATATTGATAAAACATCTGATTCCATTTACCAGTTCTTTTAAGTTATAAAATACAATCCTTTCAATCCTTTTGTCCACATTCAAAATTGAACAAAGCGACAACTGGTTTAAAACCTTAATAAATAAGCTGATTGCTGCAACTTATTCAAAAGAAACTCTTGAATAGTATTCTTCGGTGTTGAATCCTTGGGTTGACCGTTTACAGTTAATATGCTTCTCCACAGGTACCAAACACTTAGCATTTCTCAAGAAAAATCTTGTTCAAACATTAATTTTAAGAATACCATCCATTAGTAGCAAATCCACAAAAAACTCAAAATCAAAAACCAACAATTTCTCAAAATGCCTTGCACTGAGTGGTATATTTATGGCATGGAACTAAACTTCTGATTGTTAATGGCAGAAGTTGACAAGGTATGCTTAGAAATTAAATTATCAAAACCACATTAATTTATTCTTTCACACATTTATGAAAGCAAACAATCATTACTGGTCGTTGATAGAATTTTTTTGCCAAAGGACCAGTAAAATGTCTCTTCTTGGCAATTGCTATTCATAATTAAATATTAAAATGTACAAGTTATGTACCAAACACAAGGTGGAACCTGCTGATATGTGTACCACAATCAGCCACTGACCAATCACAAAAAGGAACATGATTTACTGATAATAAATAATAATTATCTTTTGTTTTAAGTAACAAAAGGTTACAAAATTCAATATGTAGTCTGGCTTTCTTGTCAAAACACTAATAACAGTACAAGTGAAAATTAAGCCAGGAAAAAATGACTGCAAAGAATTAAATTTTCCTTAAAGATTTGCAATAATTTTTTGTACTTTTGTGAGATTTAGTGATAACACAGTGATAGCCTTGTTATTATCAAAAGACAGTAACAATACTAAAACCTTTAAAAGCTAGTACAAGACCTGTTTTCTTTACAGAAATACACAACAATTTTGGTAATATTCTGATTGAAATATCTTCTCTTGAACAATTTGAATCAAATTACCCTATAACAGACTACTTTCAATTTTATAATAACACTATTTTTACCTAAAAATTCAATACATCCAAAGTTAATATTTTTGAAGTGGCAAGGCAAAGTTCTAATTAGACTTGCAAATTATCATCCAGTTATCAAATAATGTTAGTAGTGCAAATACTTTTTTGAATGTGACATACTTTAAACATCACTTCCAAGCAAAATACAAGGCTTTAATTTGTACATGTAAGTGCACTGGTTCTTACAGTTTGTTATCCACTTAATGAACATTAACATGATGGTAGCCTTTGGAGAGAATGTTACTCTTAATCATAGAAAAAATATTTAGTGCTCTTGGAAATTAGCTAGATAAAAGATTTGTATAAAGCAATTTCTGGGAATCCACAAGAAAAGTAAAATAAAGAAAGTACACTCACTGGTTTAAATAATTACTTAACAGAAACAATTTGTTAGAAGTTATAAGGTAAAATATAAAAAGAAAGGAATGCACTGTCATGGTAATCAAATGTCTGATTGCAAGCTGAACAGCCCATAATTTTGGAGCTTACATGTACATACACATGTATGTATTTCAAGTTCAGAATAATAATACAGAGAATATTGCTCACATGTATTCCTTCTAAAAACATTTGAGAGAAATGTTTTTCCCAAAAGCACATCTTAATGACCAGTTCAGGAATAAAACTTCACACACCACCCTATGCACTGAGGACTAAGGATATGGCACTATTGACCCAGAGGGAATACATCGATACTACAACTTTGCTTAAAGTTTTGCTCATAATTATCTTTGCTATTCATTTGTATTTACATTACAGCTGGTATTGGCAGGGAATGGTTTGAACCTTGTCAGGTGTATGTCTGCTTTGATCAACAGTAAAAATGGTAATCTTGAAAAAGAATGTTGTCAGTCCTTGTTACTGATATTCTAGTAACCTGAGCTATGATTGGTCAATTCAGGAATGACTGACATAAGTTTAAAGCTGTTAGACATATTCCAAATTTTCAGAGGCACAAAAATTCAATCTTTGTTTTTCAATTCTCTGTTATAACAAGTTAACAAATGAACAGAGATTAAAAATAAAAAATATTTTACTACCAGGTAACCTTGTCTTCTCATTCTGTATCATTATTTACACCTTTATGAGTACTCCTTACAATGTACATCTTGATTCATAGCTTGCATGCTTCATAATCTTAACCCTTTGACTCCCAGGCGTGATCAAAATGTAACTTTTTCATAAAATATCCATACATTACCTAGCAAACAGGTAATGAAAATACTCAAACTTTTCAGGTGGAAGTTGTTATCTTGATCTAATACCAAATTCTGGTAACTAATTAATAATAATAATAATAATAATAACTTTATTTAAGTGTCAGTGTATTTTAGCACTGCTGTGCTAATTGGGGACACTGTAAATAAGGAAACAAATATCGTAAATGAACAGAAACTCGTTAAAAACCCCAACTGGTAGGAGGCAGACCAGTTGGCTATTTACAAAGCGTGCAGGAGTTGAATTCGGGGCCACCGAAGACAAATCCATCCAGTGGCAGGGAGGAGGACTTGAACCCGGGACCTCCGGCTTACAAGTGCAGCACCCTAACCACTAGGCCACGCTCGCCTCCTCGAAATTAATAAGGAATGTATACTAGCCAGTAGGGAGAGTAATCAATCAGATCTTTGGAGTTAAAGAGTTAAGCCATAGATCAAATGCAAAAAAAAACTTGTCCATTACAGCACTTACAGTACAGACCAAAACTTTGTTAGAAAGAGGTTTTTATCACTCACTTGTTTCACCATCACATAGTCGACCTGGTTCGTCTGGAATACCTTTAAATACTGAAGAGTAAAGAGGAATAAAATTATTCCCATTAAGTAGAAGTTTACTGGCAAAAAAATGAGAAATATATTTTTGCCCCAAAGCCTTGGATTGTGAAGCCATGGACATCCTCAAGGAGGTATAGCACATGCTGACATGCTCTCATGGAAAATTGTGAAAAAATGATAACATGCAAGAACTCCCAATGTTGAAGAGTGTTCAAAATGAGCACTAAGATATCAAGGAGTAAATTGTATTTAAAATAAGACTTAATCAGTGGGAACTTAACTAAAGCAGCACTTTGCTATAAATGTACCTCAAAACCAACAGTTCAAATCAAAAACCTTAAATGAGTGAGAAATAAGAGTTCCAGCATGATATCATAGATTGAATTTGTTTGCTTAAGTCTCATGCTTAATATGTGAGACTTAAGAGCTGTGTATATAACTTATATTGCTTCAACACAATAATGCCCTGTTAATTACACAGAAAAGACTATCACACATAATTTATAGTCTGTGAGTACTTACAATGAACAACAAGCTCAGAATCCCTGTTAAGTTCATATAATCTTATTGCCTCATCAAGTTCTACTTGAGTTGAAATAGTACATGGGTCGCCTAATGAGAAAAGACACACATGGTTACAAATAATCTTTAACATAATTTGATAGAATATATTAATTAAATTGTCGTAAGAGCAGGACAAGAAAACACCTGTATTTTTCACTAGGATTTGCACTTCAAATGCAATCATTCTACAGTCAAATCCTCTGCCACTAACAGAGACCTCACTGGATAGGAGCTACTGTAGACCATGTTATGGATTCGTATGTGACAAAGGTGATTTCTTTGGTATTTATTTAACAATCACACTCTAACACTCAAACACTTCACTAAACAGCACTCTATCAATTGTACTATTTTACCAAGAGGTTGATCAGCAATAAGTCAACATGTTAAGTTACTAAACAGACAAATTCGCCAAGCCGACCAAACAATGATGATCTCGATATGCAAATTTTTCCTATCTGGTCTCCCAACTTTTTTCCCTTCGCAACACATGTACGTGTCTGGGAATTTTGACTACCAAGACCAAAGCTGAAGGGCAAGATTTAAGTGATTCCTAATGACAAAGGGTTTCTCAAAGCGCAAATTAAATTTAATTCCGCTAAAACCTCTGTAGTCGAGGGAGACTTTTTTGGAAGATAACTCACTTACAAGCGCGTCATCAATCAATTTGAAATTTACAAAGCTGATGTTACTAGACATAAGAATGTTTTTTTTTTTATTTCGAGAAAATTAAAACCTGAAATTCCAACGAGAGATTTCGTTTCTTCAGTCATTCGCATTAAGCCCTAAAAAAATGATTAAGTTGTAAATATATTACTCTAGGCAATATGGTCAGCTTCGACATCGTGGGATCGATAAAAATGTTTATTTAGAAACCACTACAGACGAAACCTGCGAGCGAATTTTTTCAAATTATTGAGCTTCTTAGAACTCAGCACGATTCAATATAAATGTTGTTACAACATCACTACAAGCCTTTTAGGGCAAATTTAAAGTGATGTGATCGGTAGCGTATCAATATAGAATCCTATTTAGATCGCACCGTTTCGAAGGAACACTCATCCACTAACCTTCTTCGTCTAGCCATTTCATAGTGAATTCGTCTTCTTCGCCAAATCTGAATATATCTCGCATTTCATCGCAGAATTTCTCCAGAGTTATTCGATTTTCCATGGACAAAACCATTATTGTCCTAATCGTAGTAGAAATAATAAATTAAGTTCGACAAACATTGAAGTGAAATGTATGAATTTAGCGTCCGCTAAATATGAAAATAAGCCGCATAAGAGAGAGCTACTCACCCATTATAAGCCGCTTTAACGGCGACCGCTTCGATTGAATTCATAGCTGGCATAGATCACGGTCGTAAAAATTGTCCAAGCTTTACAAACAAGGCCTCAGAGAAGAATGTCTTTGCGTTGATTCTTGAGTAAACTAGAGCTTTCTATGACTACATTTCCTACTACACATCTCCTTGGAATTTACATCGATCACGTGACATTCCAAATGGCACAAGGGTTCGAAGTTACAAATCATTACTACTAACACAACGTAACTAGTCAATTTGGACGATAAAAACGAAGTCTTTTTCTCACCCATCAAAAATTGCACGTAGATTGATTGGAAGATACAGAAAGCCCAATTCGTCCTGAAATCCCAATTCCTCATGTGCAAGGTTGAAATCCTGAGCAGGGGCCTCCAAGTCCTCCACCTCTCCTTGCTCATTTGTGCTTCCATCCATTTCACGGTAGCCCGTCAGTACACATGGATCAACTCCTGATGAAAAAATATGAGATAAAATTGATCAAAAGACGGTTTTTGATAAACTGTGAAATAGTATAATTTCACATCAGCGCCATATCGAAGGTAAAATACCAACTTCTTACTTATTTTCATCAAAAGGTGCACTTTGCAGCTCAGCTTTACATTAGCGTGCCAAATCGTGTTTGATGTTTTTTGAGGGGCCGCTGGTTTATCCAATTATGCAGCATTTGTCAGAGTTCAGCTTTTAATTGCGATACATGCTTGGTTTCGAGAGGCTAGTTCATTGTATTGCAACTATGAAGCAGTATTGCAAATCGCTTGTCTGGTTAAGAGGTTTGACACTTTCTTCATGTCATGTTTATAGGGTTCAAGGAGATGTAAAAAAATAAATAAATAAAAAATTGGCAGTGAATACGAAGACAATCTTATTTTTATCAAACCCAGAACTTTACATGCTTTAGAATTTGTGAAAAAAGGGAAATGGTTTAAACGGAAAATCGAAGACTTTTGCCAAGAGCGGGTGCACGACCGTGGGGGGGAGGCACGCGAGGACACGCGTGAGTTTTTTTGGTCGGCGGAGGTCCACACTATCTCGTAATATATGTACAGGCCTTCCCAGATTCTTGTTCAAAACGTAAAAATATTGCGATCACTTCTGATGCAGAAAGTCACGTCTTATTAATATTTACCTTCAAAATTCTCAGTTGTGACGTCATTTCCTTTATCATCGGACTCATCCAACGCGTTGAGGACTGGATAGACATTCTTCCCCACTGATGTCATTCCAACAGGTAAACAATTCAAGCTGATTTCTGTCATTATGAAATTCCTGGCATCACAAATAGAAAATGAAACGGAGAGAATGTAATGTTTCCTCTTGAGAGGGAAAAATGAAAATGACGCGAATAACATTTTTAAACGCACTCATCCCCTACCGGCTGGACTCAGCTCAATACAAAACAGCTAAACTTGCTCGACAACAAGACACTTTCAAGCAATTTAATTTTAGTGCCTAATTATTTGTCGATGCATTACTTTCAACCGTAAGTGACGTTAGTTTGATTTAAGGATATTTCGGTTTTGATTCAAAGCTAGTCTATGTATCTCCTTTTGCTCTCTGATATTTTCGGCTCGAGAGTTTTTCGATGTACGATATTTTCCGTTTCGCAAGAACTGCAAGTGTTACAACCGGGTTAAACTCGAAGAACGGAAAGTACGCAGTTCTCTTGCGTGAGACTCGATGTTATTCTTGACCAGGAATTAAAACAAAAACTAGCTCGAAACTTAAACGATCAGCGAATGTTCCGATTTATTGAGGATTAGCTCTTATGTCGGTTTGTTTAATCTTTGTAAGTTGAGGAAGTGGGATTCGTTTGTCACTCCAAAGTTAGTACATGTATACCGGATGTACAGCGTTATGCACATCAACTAGTGGAAATTATCTGTTGAATATTGGCGACAGGTATATCCGGATATAGAAGTTTTGCCTTCAAAATTGCTACAATCTTCCTCATCGAAGATAAACTATTTTTAACATACCTTCAATACGCGTGAAATTAATAATTTTCCGTCCTCGTTCTTTCAGATGCGATCTGAAGCTCCGCCTTATATTTTTCTGCTCAAGTGTTTCTGAGGGGCGTTTAACATGAATTTTGAATAATTTTCCAAAGTAAAACAACGTGACAATCATAAGTCAAAATAATCATTACGTCATCTCTCTTGAGTATCATTTGACTTTTAAATTGCACGGTTTTATCTGTTTTGCATAAGTTTTTGCTTTCTAATGAAATTCAATGGCTAAAGAAAAACAATAACACAAAAATGGTGCAAGAAATATATTTTAAAGATCGAGTGAAGACTCTGTTCAGGATAGTGACTAAAATGTTGAAATATGCCAGAAAAAAAATATCAAGGATACTGTTATGTAAAATTATGCATCTCTAATAAATTTCCGGCTAAGCTGCAGAATACCCTGCCACTCATTTACATGTCAGTGAATAAGAATAGAGTCTATTGTGTTATGCCTCGATCTATCCCGACTCAGGTAAATGTGGTGGACCAAAGTGGCAGGGTATTCTGCAGTTGCTCAAAATTTCCATCTTAAACTCTGGCAGAAGAAATTCTTGATATTTCAAATAATCTTTCAGTTGGATGGAAGGTAAGGAAAGCAATACAAGAGATATAAATCAAACCTACTGATCTGAAGTCTGTATCTGTCATACTGATAGACTCTTTTATGGTCTCCTGAAATAGCTTGCAGTGCGCGCAGGCGTTTAATTAGAGCGAGGTAACGTTATCAAGGGGAAGGGGGCGGGGAAAGGCGAAAAGACAAAAAAACAAAAAACAAAGGAATTTTTATTCATTCCCCTTTGGTACAAATTTATTTCTATCCCCAGCCTTCCGCTGTCCTTAAAATAAAAGATGGCGACTGTAATTTTTGCGAAGAAAACACTGAGCACTCGCTCGCCTGAAAATTACGCCTACTCTGCTTGCTACTCCTGAAATAAAATAAGTTTGAATTAGTTATATGTGTATTGGCTACACTAGAGATATCAGTGACATGTGTGAATCCTTATTGGAAGGTATCGTCAAATAAGATGATGGTTGGTTCCTTATCAGGTACCATATCAACCCCCGTAAAGTGCCTTTACTGCAAAGAAATTTATTGGCGAAAAATACCTTAAATAAAATATCGATGAAAGCACGCCACCAAATTTTAATTGAGACGAAATTATAGCACAACGACTTGGTAATTTATGTCAGGCAGTACAAGACGTCTCTAGTGCTGCAAAGAACTTGTATACTGATGTTAGAGCGTGAACGGTTAACTTTTACAACTTTTCTGATAATGTGTGCAAGTACATAGTTTAATAAGGTGGAATGTCTAGTTTGTATACTGGATAGTTGTACAGATCTTTGATTTTCTGGTCGATGTCCCTTGTTTCGTATGATGGAGTACCTCCCCTCGCTTGCAGCTTCACAGTCGTCGAAGTCCCATGATACACGTTGTCTTTGTACACATGATGTTGAGACGGATTACCATTGGTCAGCCAAATGCATCTGTACTTAGTCGGGTTACTGAACCCAACGATCTCAAATACGTTAGCAGAGTACTTGATATTCTCATCCTTTCCAACCGAGTGGGGTTCATAATAGCTTAAACTGCTTTCTCGTCTGCCTGGTCTCGTTCGTTGTACCAGGTGATTTCCGTAGATGATCACGTTCTTGAGACCATCATGAAGACAGGCCTTGCGTTTTCTGTGTGAATACAACAAAATGCCTGTGTCGTCGACGTAATTACGAGCAAGCCAAAGATTTTTTCCATTTCGAACTTTGATACCACCTGATGGATTCGCAGGCCAACCTCTGACATAATTGCTTTTCACTTCCATGTTATCAAACCCTTTCAGGTACATGGCGTGGTCTCTGTGTCTTCCGGTATTGGGACTTCCGTTGAATATATTTTCCGCTATTTTCATTTTTCTGTCGCACTGGTCATAAAGACAACTTTTAAAGTAGCCTTGGTCAGATTTAAGATTGTAACGAGTCTTCAAGAACTCTAATTTCTGTTTTTGATCTCGCCAATGGGATACTGGCTCAACTTTGGAAGACAACCACTCTAATTTACTTAGCTCAAGTCCACATACGTTGTCAATTACCCAAACGCTCAAAGTACTTCTAAATCTGGAAGCAACTCCATATGCACCTGAATCACGTAAAAAGACGTTTTTGTAAACACGGCTGTTTCCAAGCTCCATCATCACCAGTTGTCGTTTCCGTCCGTTGCTTGCAGTTGGACTTGCCGATGAAAAGAATACACAGCTCTCTATTGTAATGTCACCTGTAGATGATGGCCCTTTAGTTTGACCATCAAATACTACAAGAATTCCGTCCAGATACAGATACTTCAGTGAAACACGCTTTACTGGTGAAGCATTCTGTATTTCTATGGCATATGGAATCGACGCCTTGATGACTGCAATACCACTCTGGGTTCCATGCAATTCCACTGAGCCACTTATAGTAATATCACTGCTGACCAGGTACTCACCACGAGGGAAAAAAACCTTGTTGTTTGTGGAACCTGCAACGTGTTTAACGATGGCCTGAATGGCCGATGTGTCGTCAGTTTTTCCATCTCCAACAGCAGCAGTTAAGGAACCTCCGGGTTGCTTCACGTTGGTCATTCCAGCAGGTACGTTATCTGATCCTGTCAGATAGTTGGGAGCTGGAAGGACAAGGAGAAGGGAGGTCGTTAACAAAGGTCCTTTTTATCTAAAAAAATCACCGTATAGTTGCCAAGTGACTCGATCGTGTCAGGCAGAGCTGAATCATGAAATGCTACGTCACAGGTATGCGATCAATGACACGGACTCAAGCGCACGAGGTTCATTATTCAGAGAAATTTGCGGGGAAAAAAGGGGCTGGCATTTAAAACCCAGGTATTTTCCTATTTCCAGTGTTTTAAAGAAGAAAATGAATTTTGGAAATTTAAAGGGGGCGTACAAAGATTCTAGAGTTTTTTTTTTTAAAGGAAAGCCACAAGGGAAGCAACGCCTTGAAGAAACAGAATGGAAAATCAAGCATGGAAACGGCTCAAAATATCGCATGCCCAGAAGTTATTCAGCTCTGTCATCTTGTCATTGACTGGGGCAATAAAAGCAATCGCATTACTCCAACACAGCGGTCCATCGTCTGGCATGCTCAGAGAGAAATTTTGCAGGAAAATGTAAGAGACAATCACTGTTACACGCAATTACTGAAAATGAGTTGGAATACTCATATGGATCCGGAAAACAAAAGGTGGGAAATGAAAAGTTTGAGACTTTTCCTGTTCATTCACCATTTTGTTTTGGAATTTTTAAAACACCGTGACCATCCAATTTGCAATGAGGTTCTTTGGCCTGAATCTAATATATCGTGTGGTCTAGTTTCAATGCTCTCACACACCCAAACGTCTGTCCGCTGTGTTGATCACATTACACCTCCGAAAATGTATCCGTTTCTCGAAAACCGCAGAGAGAACTTACCTTGGACTCAACCTTATTAACAATAGGCAGTAATAAGCTCAAGTAGTTACGGGTGACCCTTTGCCCTCCCGACTATTCGGAAAGGTTCGCGTACCGACCATTATCGCAGCAAATAGCGAAGCTAGGATTACAATCGACGTATAACACTATTGACGGTTCGTCCATGACATTTCGTCGGACCGCAATTGTCTGCCTAATTTAGCTGGAAATACAGTAAAAAAATTATTCCCCTTTTTCCTTAGCAAATACATGAAGGCATTCAGAAAACAAAGAATTAGCTCAGAAATGGATAACGATAAAGAGTAACTACTCACTTCGGTTGGAGTTCACTACATCTTGTGCACAATATTTCATGAAACGCTGTTGTATTTTTCAAAATTATTCAAAGTTTTACGAAAGTAGCGTTAGATTTCCTATTCCTTAAAGTGCTGAAATTTTAGCACCTTTGGTCATCAAACGACCAAGTTTCTTGAACTCGAAAACAAACTCAGTAAAAATGAGTAAAATTCACACTATTTCAATTGGCATGTAACCATAAAAAAAGAATGAATGATCAACTTCTCTCCAGGCCATATTATTCGTTGGCGAATCTTCATCTTTAACCTCAATTTTTTACCAACTAGACACAAATACCGTACTTTATAAACTCCGGCAGTTTTTAATGATGTTCGTATCATCCTTTTCAGGTTAGTAACGTAGTAACAAAACATTCCTTGTTTGACCTTACTTGTTTGCTTTTTTATTACGCTCTGCCGCGCTTTATTGTGATGAATGGGCGTTTTCTTTCCCAGATTGTGTTTCCCAGAATGCTTTCCAGCAACGCTTCTAACCATCCTCCGGTGAAAAGAAATCAAGATTGCATCAGGATCATACGGGTTTTTGTTCATGTTTTAAAATATTATTTCTTTTAACACTTACCTAAGAGCGAAGATGATGCTTACAAACAGAACTAACCCTCTGATCATAATGAAACGCTTATTAAGAAACACTTTTCAAACTGAAAATCACCGACTCCAATATTCAAAACGTTATAATGCCAGCCACTGAGATAAAAATGATGCAAACCTGAATTAAGATGACAACTGGATTAGCTCAGTCCGTTAAGTCAATCATGAGTTGGCAATGATCTAATTTAATCAAACTGTCTTCTTTTTTCTTTTTTTTTTCCATACTTCTCTTTTGAATGTCGAAGCAGTTTCGAGAAGTTGTCACAGTATCTTAAAAAATTCTCTTAAAAGTAATACTTCAGTGAATCGTAGTTTGATAAAAGGGATAATTCTTTCAGTGGCAGATTTAAGTGACGATGATGCAATTACAGTTGTCACAATTTCGGCTCTTATGAGATTTTACCTGTGATAGAACGCTCTATTACTCATTTAGACATTTCATTACTTGTTTTAAATAAGATTATAGGAGGTTATAACAGGTGCATTTAGGTTCTGTAGTGTTATTGTGTTATATGTCACTGATTTGCTTTTCGACCATTTCACGCGTGGACAAATTGTGTGTCACCTCATTTACTCCAAAGTTTAAAGATGTGTTAAAGCTGTTTTGCTAAACACAGTTAAAAATTTTGCTTAATCTGCTTATCCCTTCTTTTTCGACTTCAAATTGAACACATTGCAAATGAAACCTATGAAAAATTCAGTCATTAAGTCGTCTATCTCTGATTTTTGTTCAGTTAAATTCAGTTTCACTAACATGTTTTGCTGATATGAATAGGGTATGTGATTCTTTTTTCATCGAATATTATAACACCAAAATGTTTCGGGTTTAATTCAGTTCCGTACATCATAGCCAGACGATTAGCAGATGTGAGATATGTGAGATATTTCTCTTCCATCGGGTCGTTTGATGAGTCCAGAGACCTTGAAGTGATGTGCCCATATATCAGTGCATTGCTAATAGAAATTTTCGAACTGTCTTATTTTCACAAAATGCGACTTAAACTTTGATAATTGAACTCGACCACACCGTTTTTAGTGACAATGATGAACAATTATTTGTCGAAAGCGAAATGAATATTGTTGAAAAATCCTCGAGATAAATTCTTTTGTAAATTCGTTTTGTTGTTGAAACCATCCTATAAATACAGAAAGCTTTGCTCATATTTTGTTACAATGGTTTGATTACTCGGAGATAAGCAGCCAGTTTCCACAAGTATTTATACAGCAGCCAAAACTTCATGCCTTACTTCTGCAAAACGCCAAACTTAGTGGCATCTGAATTTTCTTTTATTGCGTTACACCGTTCGTCTGTCGCTTGTAATTTCACTCCCTTCCACTGACTGAGGGCCTAAAAAAGGCTATCAAAGGAAGATGTCCTTTTACTACTCGTACATAAAACCTTTATTACAGGAAATGGCAATAAACTTCTGAGTCGCTGATGATGAAAGAACACTCCATGACCCGGTAGTTAACTCTGTTAAGCCGTTTTTCAATTGCCGAGTACCTTTATTAAATACTATCTCCAGATAAAAGCCCAAACATACCATCTATATTCACTTTTTTTTTTACTTTATTTTTGTATTATCACCCCGGTTGAGCAAAGATGACTGCGAACACCTGAAGCCCTAATGCTGAAAAGACACCTCCTTATTTCGTTTTGAAATTTAATTAGAGGATTGTCGTGATTCCCGAACACTTTTATTGCAGACTTTTCCCGCGCCAATAATGAATTCTTTATTTCTCTTTTCAATCATTCAAGTCCCCATTACAGAAAAAACTTATGCTACCAGCTGATATCAAGTACTAAGGCTGATATAAGTATACGTCCCCTTTCCCTTGTAAAGTTTTAGTAAATCTGATTGTAAGGTTCAGCGGTAAACCTGTGACGTGCTTCAGTTTTAATTGCCCATCATCCTTTAGTCACTGCCACAATAACGGAGTTGGCAAGCGGGCGGTTTCACCAGTTTGTAGATAAAGAACGAGTCGCAGTTTAGTACTTCAATGTTGGCTTGCCAGTTACAACTGTTGCTATTCCAGTTGAAACAAACTTGTCTGGATACCTAAACCAAAAAACATTAGAATTGAAAAGATAAATAAATGTCTACTCATCACAAATATAGTCTTATGTTAGAATTAGGATATGTGTTATGCTGTGTCATAATTAGTAAAAAAAAATTTTACATAGAAGCCGATTGAAAACACTCAAGTTTTTTTTTTCTCCTATAACGTCATAAAGCCTGTGTTCTCACTGGTATAGAAATATACGAAGAGGAGCTCTGTTTAGCAGCCCTTATGTAAAATTTTATTTTTGCCTTTGAGGAAGTTGTGTGTTGCGAACTTTCTTCGGTAAATATCTGTACTTACAAACGTTTTCGCTGACACGCGATTTTTCAAATGTGGCGCGTGGTCGAATATGCCCTTCCCCTGGTGATATTCTCTAATTTTGAAACATTGCTTACAATGCGATGAAAGTCTTCCTTTAAGAGTTGATTTTAGTTGGAGAGTGTTTAAGGATAAATTTGTCTGTGAAAGGAATAATTTGATTGTTATTGAAGTCGCGGTGGAAAGTCAGCATCTGTTTTCAATGTGATCGTTTTGTTCGGCGCACAGCAATAAAGAAAAAAGAGAAAGAGAGAATAAATGCATTCATTTGGCTTATAAATGAGTGGACTTATATATCCTTCGGCATCATCTGTTATCCGATGTCCACAGCTTTCTTAAAGCTTCGCTCTTCGAAAATCATTCGCTTCTCGGAACAAATAATGTCCATGGCAAAATATCCGAGAATAATTTCGCGCCAAACAGAGGCTAATGTTCATTTATATGAATTACCCAGAAAAAAAGTTTGTTGTTGTAAGAAATGTGATCAGTTCACCTTTCCCTCAGCAACGGATGGATGTTGTCCATTCAGCCACCCCGGTGCATGCGTGCCACACATGTTTTTATTCGGTGATGACTCTGGCATCTTTGAGCCTGCGGCTCCGGTGAAGCGGTACCACGCTTCTTCCATGTTGTTGTCACATGCCGCATTGCCCATACCGTAGGTATTCTTCCTGTCAGCGCTGTCCAGAACTTTGTAGCCTTCACACTCTATTTTGCAATATGGCAAAAACAGAGCTGAAAAACGTCTGCGCGTGTCTCAGACTCACTTGTCGATCCATAGCAACAGTGTACATTTATTAAAATGGCGGGAATTTTTTTAAAAAAAAACCTGTAATATCCACTTTTTAGTTAAAAGGCTCAAGACCACTCAGCACGCATATCAACATCATGGAGGCTCAACGTACAAAAGATAAATACATTTTTGTAAATGAAAACATTTTTTGTGCCCCTGTCAAAGGACCGTTGGTAGAGAAATTAAAAGTTTAATCTTGCTACCTGAATTATTTAAACTTGGGCAAAAAACAGCGTCGCTTAACAATTTTTTCCAATGTTATCATAATGTCACTATGGTTTTATATTTGAGTCCGCAAAAATTCGTGACGAGCGGAGACGTTTTTCAGCAATTTGATTGGATATTTAGACACTTAGCAATCATGTCTAGGTGGAGAAAAACAATCTGGAATTCATGGTAACCGTCGAGTATTGACAAGAATTTTGTTGGTTGGGGATGGAGATGCCTCTATGAGGATCTGTGATGACCTGCGATGGCTCAAATTGATAAAAATGGGGAGGGAGAAGACCAGCGGAACCTGCCTTGGGCCAATAGTTGTTCTGGGTAATTTAAGACAGCCAAAAATATAGATATAAAAATATAAAAAGACAAACATGGTTTGAGGTATTGACTTAAAAAAAAATTGTTCCGAAGGGGAACGAAAATTATTTGGAGTTAGTTGGAAGCTCGGCTTTGGTTAACAAGGATGCACGAGTTACAGGGGGTGAAAAAAATAATCAAATGAATAACAAAAGTCCTAGAGTTTAATTTTGGTTCAAGTTAATGACGCATTCGAGTTGGCGAGGGTTCGAGTCATCATGGACTTTTTGAAACGTAGTTCGGAATCTACTAGAAATGTACCTGGAGCCAGTGGAGGGGGGTTTGTTGGGGGGTGTGTCGGCGGTTCTTTCTTCAGCTCTTCAATCTCTCCCTCTACAGCAGTAAGCCGCTCTTTTAGTTCAGAGATCATCGAGCAAGCTGAAAATAAATTACGCAAAGAGTCTATGAATCGCTTTAGTGAAGCTAAGCGTTAAATATAAGAGCAACTAAATGGAAAACTTATTTTCAATTTTCAATAAGCCGCCGAGAAGTAAAATTACACAGCTAATTCGTTGTCAACGTTGTCCTAATTAGGAAGAACAGGTTTTTTTTATACCTAATTTTATTTCTAAACCTGCGTTGTCGTGAAAAGCCTAAAGAAAACCATCTTAGTCGCTATTTCTTTCAGAGGGGTCACAAGTTTATTATTAGGTATTCATTGTTAAATTTTACCCTCTTTGCATTCTCCTAGTTCCTCCATGCTCTCCTCCAGCTCCTTCACCCTGTTCGATAGCTTCGAAAATTTTCCTCCTCCTTTCCCTCCAAGTACAGGTTTTGCCTCTTCCATCAGAGTAACCAACAATAGGAAACCAGAAATGCAGATATACGTCGGGTAGACATTTCCGCTGTCAGATTGTGACAGGTACTCGTAAAAATAAAGTTTCAAAGTTTGTTTGGAAGCCTTTTAAGCCGCCCTTATCATTACGCAAATGAAAATGTTTCGGTGTAGCATCTCGCTTTAATTTGCATCACCTCTATTTTAACTACCATTTACTCGCTCAAAAATTGTTCAATTTATAGAAGATCTTGCCGTATTTACAGCCCTAATCATTCGGGTTCTTTCAGAAAGAATTTCGTTAAGTTTCAAAAAAAAATAAATATGTTATTTATCGGTTAAGGGTCGGTCCGTAAGTTGGTGTTTTAAAAGCGGCACAATTCAAAGCAGTGCCGATAGTAGTTTGCCCCGCTTGTTTATCCCAACAGCAATGAGCAAAACAATGGATTAGCCTTGGTAATTTCATTCTTTAGAATTTTCCTCCACGGTACAATTTTGAAATTTGGCATGTCGGCACCGAATGGGGCGAAGACTTCACAGTGGGGATACTAAATAATAGTCCTGTTTTTCATGGTTCATTGTTTAGAAGTATTATGCTTGTGAGAAGTGGAACTATTCCATAGTAACTCTTTAAATTAGTCGTATTTCATTTTAATGATAAGCAAAAACAAGGGAGGATTATTTTCATGTTTGAACTTAAAAATGTTTAAGAAGAGTACCAAGGTCGTGTTTTTTGTAGAAATTCATGGAGCATCCTCGCCGATTTCAATTCATTGGCCTTTTACTGTGCAAAATTATGGAATTATGCATGGTGCAAGAGAAAATAATGGAACCAATTATTTTTGTCAGTATGGTATTATTATATGTGCGCATCGGGTGAACATCAGCTAAAGACTTCAAACTAAAAACCTCGGCCATCGAGCACTATTGAATGAATTTTTCTTCTTTAAAAGGAGCGTACTTCTGAGTTTTACAACTATTCCTTATAAAAAATAGAGAGTAAACAGTTGCGTCAAAGTTGATGGTCATTCAGGAAGAAAATACTCGTCAGTTTGATAGCTCTATTCCATATGATCAAACACACTATGGAATGTAAAAGAA